GATTTTCAGGGTGAAGCGGCCGCCGGGTTCTCCGCCTGTCTTCAAGGCTCGTTACGTTGCACGAGGCTTCGGTCAGTGACAGGGAGTTGATTTCTTCCAGACCTTCTCCCCTACCCCGAAGATGACCACTCTTCGGGTACTGCTGCACGTTGCCGCTCAGCGTGACTACGAGCTTCACTCTCTTGACTTCAGCACACCTTTCCTATAGGGCTGCCTGCACGAGGAGATCTGGCTGCGCCGTCCATCTGGCTTCACTGGGTCGTTTCCTGCAGGTACGCAGTGGAGCCTCCGACGGCCAGTCTATGGTCTCCGCCAGGCGCCTCGTGAGTGGCACGACACACTGAGGACGACACTTGCAGCACTTGGGTTTGCTCCTTCTACTGCAGACCCGTCGCTGTTTCTGCGCACCGACACTTCGCTGCAGCTGTTCTACATCCTCGTGTACGTCGACGACTTGGTTTTTGCAACTGCTGACACTGAGGCACTCGCCTTTGTGAAGCCGGAGCTGCAGAAGAGACACTCCTGCACTGACCTGGGTGAGCTGCGCAGCTATCTTGGCTTGCATATCATCCGGGAGAGAGCACGACACACCATCACCCTGACTCAGTCACACATGGTGGAGCAGGTCCTTCAGCGCTTCGGCTTCACTTGGTCCTCGCCATAGTCCACTCCTCTGGCTACCGGTCACTCGCTCTCAGCTCCACCTTTGGACGAGTCCGTAGAGCCGAGTGGCCCGTACCCAGAGCTAGTGGGCTGCCTCATCTACCTGATGACCTGCACTCTACCTGACCTTGCGTACCCTCTTGGCCTTCTGGCACGCTACGTTGCTCCTGGCATGCACCGAAAGGTGCATTGGGATGCTGCAAAGAGGGTACTGCGTTACTTGTTCAGTTCATCGGGCATGGGGCTGGTGCTTGGCGGGCGAGGTCCAGTTGTCCTCACTGGACACTCAGACGCTTCGTGGGTTGACGACTTGGCTACGCAGTGGTCGTCACAGGGTTACACCTTCAGCCTTGGCTCCGGCTCAGTTTCTTGGCGTTCTACCCGCTCGTCTTCTGTTCTCTGCTCTAGTTGTGAGGCTGAGATCTACGCGACAGCCATGGCTGCACAGGAGTTACGCTGGCTCACCTACCTGTTGACCGACTTGGGAGAGCGGCCTCGTTCTCCTCCAGTTCTGTACATAGACAACAAGGCTGCCATTGCCTTGTGTGAGGAGCACAGACTGGAGCACAGAACGAAGCACATCGCTCTGCGTTACTTCCTTTCTCGAGAGTTGCAGCAGCGTGGTCAGCTTCGTCTTGCTTACGTGGCCACTTGGGCCAACACTGCTGATATATTCACCAAGGCACTTCAGCCTTGTGATTATCAGCGCTTCTGTACTGTTTTAGGCCTTGTGCCTACTTTGCCTCACTTGCTCACTTCGTGACTTTGCTTGTACTGTGATCTATATACTTATACTTGCCTGCATACACTTGCTAGGTTGTGATCACTGTACTGCTTGTTTCCATTTATATAACTCACCATGTGCACTGGCCTCGTGGCCATTTGTTTGTGCTCAGAGTGTGTGGTGACTTCGTGATCCACCCTGAGTTTGCTTTGCTTTTCTCTTCTCTTGATTGGTCTTGTGACCATTGTTTGCTCTGGCTATCCCCCACTTCGCCTATGGGGGTGTGTCAAACATATATCTTTATTAAGTCTTCAAGGCTATATAGGGGCTAGCCTTAGGGGGTATAGCTTTTCACCTCGACACTTTTGTTTGTAACCCCATTCTAGACCTAATCAACCTACTTCTCCTAAAGTCTCTCGTCAATCCCTTCACTCCACTTGACTCGCTGCTCATGGCTCGTGTGTATTGCATCCTGCTGATCTATAGCATTGTAGATGTTGTCCCACTGTACGAACGCATATTGTCTCCTCGTGTGTTGTGTGCCGCTTCTCGTGCACTCTTGTGTGCAACAGGGGCTGAACAAGGGGTCGGCGGAGCGAGGAAAGGACTCTGATGTAATAAGCATCCGCGCTTCTACGCACGTTCTTCTTACCTCCCTCTCATGTGCTACCCACGTTAAACTCTTTGTCCGTGCTTCCCAAACTCTCTTTCCACGTGCTTCCCACTCTCCTCTCTTTCCACGTTAATCTAGTGAACAGGAATGAGTTTGACTAAGGAACTGGTGTACAAGCATGAAACCCTAGGAATGTTGTACACCCTAAGGTTAGCCCCACTATAGCCTAACAAATTATAAACAAAGAGTTTTGACACACCCCCATAGGCAAAATGGAGGATAGCAAGAACAACAACGGTCACAAGACCAGTCAAGAGAAGAAACGAAACAAAGCTCAGGGTGGATCTCAAGACCACCACACAATCCAAGCACAAGCAAACGGCAACAAGGCCAGTTCTCATGCAGTGTTATAAAAGCACAAGCAGTACAACCATCATAACCTAGCAGTTGTAAGCATGCAGGTATACCGTATGTCAAAGTACAAGGCAAAGTCAAGAGACAAGTACGGCCATACGCGCGTCCTTGAAGTTGACTGCCGAATCTGCTTCAAGATGGAGACGACTGACTAATGAAGAAGAGACGAACGAGTGGCTAGCTCCGCTATCTACGAGAATCTTAACAGGAACTCCACGAAGCTTCCCTAGAAGCACGACTGGTCGGTCAACAGTGTCTACCTCGTTCTCCGTAGATGACTGCTGCAAAGCTGTCTCCTCTACGTTGGTAGACGTGGCGGGTACGGGAACCTCCACACCAGTTAGCGACCCGCTATCTACTGGCGGTTTCCGTTTCCCTGCTGTTGCTCTTTAAGCTGTGGGCAGTCCCGCTTCATGTGTCCCGGCTTTTTGCAGTAGTGACAGTTCCCCCTAAATCCCGTTTTCCGGGAGCCATCACTGTTAACTGCACCAATCTCCATGGGCGATGGTCCGTCCCTCGATCGAGCGTCGTTGATCGGTCTGTTGTATCCCCTATCGCGATCGTCACGACCCCGTCGGCTTCGTACTGCGTCGACGCGTTCTGCTGCTGCGACAACTGACTCGAAGGTGGACAACCCATGAATCGCTATAACTTCTGCTATGTCCGGCTTCAACCCTTCAAGGTAGCGATCGCGCATCTCTGCTTCCGTGATGTCATCTATTTCGTTGCAGATGCTCAAGAACCGTCGTGTGTACTCCTGGACGTTTCCTATCTGTCGGAAATGACGCAGACGCTTCCTAGCAGCTTCTGAGGCGTTCACCAAGTCGAACCTACTTTTCAGTGCCGCTTCAAATCCTTCCCATGTGGTCGGAACCGTGGTAACACCCAAAGCTAAACTCCCTAAGCTCGAAGTTGCAGCTGCATGCCCCACGCCCTGTTGATGCCCGTCTGTCTGAGCCCTTCTTACAGCAGTTTGCGTGAGTTGGCGCCACCACTCCAAGGCCGGGACCCTCAGCAGCGTAACGGAGTACTCGATCCGCTGCTGCGCATCCGCCTCTTGCACCCCGCTCGCGGCGAAGTAGTTGTTCAGCATGAAGAGCCACGTTCGCACGTTCGCGTCGCGTTGACTTGGGTCGAACGGCTCGGGCTTCTGCGGCTTGAGCGCGCTTCGACGTTCCGGCAGCGCTTCCGCGCCAGTCGACGTGTTGGGCGCAAGAGTTGGTGCGGCATGACCATGGGGGTTAGAAGCCAATTCACGAAGCTGTTGCATTTCAGCTCGTACCTGACGATTTTCCAACGTCAACTCGTGAAGTTGGCGCATGAGTTCGGTAAGCGTGTTGCCCATGTCGTGGGGGAGAGCATGCATGGTTTCGTCCATGTTCGCTCGACGACTCCAAGTCTGCAAGTCGGCACCGCGGGACGATGACGTCGTAGTCTCGTCGTCGACGGTCGCTCGTTGGAAGTCGCTCCCCGCGAAGGCTCTTGATACCAAGTGTTAGGCCCGACGGCCTAAGTCCGCTAAAGAATTAGCGAGGTCGACTAAGTCGAGGATGAAACGCGGCGGAAGACTTTGGCGAAAGAACTATTAGCGAAATAGGCGAAGAAGTTACTGAGCAATTGAAGAAGAGTTGAATGAGAATTGGTTGATAATGCCAAGTACAAGCAAGGTTTAAGTAGCATGCAAGAAACAAGGTTGGAAAGTAGATTGTGAGACTAGGAATTGGAAGGCAAGAGAACTAGAGTGCCACGTGGCACAAGGAAATCTAGGAAATCTTGGATGAGTTGGATGAAGATAGGGTTAAGATAAGGTTGGGGGTCTGTTTAGGGTAAACTACCCTTGAACAGGAAAGTACCCCGTAACAATCTACATTCATATGTATTACAATTCTACACCTTAACTGTAGCATTTACGTGAAGCCCTACACACACAAAGCAAGTAGCAGTAACCAGCTTTGATATTTCGTTAGAGTAGAGTCGTATCGCAGCAGCTGATGAGCACACGCGAGCTCCACCACAGCCAGCCAGCAGCCAACTAGCCAACCAAGCCAGCCGACACGCCACAGCGAACCCAAACAACTAGAATAGTTGTTTATCGCTCTTGGTGTTAGCGTCTCATTATTATTCTATTCTCGCCTCGCATCGATCACACCACCTCACGCACACCTTCCCTCATGGCCTGCAGATCGCTCGCATGTCTCGTCTAGCCGCACTCGCGCTCTTCGTTCCTTTCCGCGTCCGTTCATGGCCCTGCGGGTTTCTCGAGGCGGATTGTCGCGCGTCCTGCGGAGTCGTAGCACGATAGCATCGCCATGGATCACTCCGCTTACAGCCACGTTGGATGCTCTTTCTCCTACCACTAGTACCACCACTGCTACAACTACTAATAGCACCGTCCTCGCTTCGGGTAGTAGCCACCACGCGTTAGTACCTCCAGCCAGCCAATCCCCCGCGCAGAGGCAGAATCTCCCGATTGGTCACGGCGCATCATGCGGTCGCAGCGACTCGTTTCTTCACGAAAGCTTGGCGCGTCGCTTCAACAATCGGGTTGGCGCCGCCAGGCCATGCCATGCCCGCGATAGCGCTCCGATGAGGCTCTTATACACGGGAGGCCAGGCCATGCCCATGATCGCCAGCAGCCCCACGAGACGACCGTATCTCATCGACACGTTAGCGCTGGTAGGTCGTGTCGGTGCCTGCCTGACTGCTTGTTCTTTTGAGACGTCTCAACAGTCGTTTCCATGCCCATGATCGCGATCAGAGCGGCCCTGCGAGACGCGCATATCTGATCGACACGTTACCAGCGCTGGTGGGTCGTTTCGGTGCCTGACTGACTGCTTGTTCGCTCCCTGGGTTTCGATCAGTAACGGCATGTTTCAACAAGCGGGATTCGTTGCGAGTGCTTCTTCAGCTTTTCGGATTCACCTAGCAACGGATCCGCAGCACGATCACTCACCAAAGCTTTGCTCTTCATTCGACTTCTCCCCTCGCCCTCCTCCCCCCCACGCGCGCGCGTGCGCGCGAGATGGTGCAGGTGCGGCGGCTGGAGGCGGAGGGGCTGACGGCGCGGCAGGCGGAGGCGATAACGCAGCTGATCGCGGAGGTGCTGCACGACAGCCTCGACTCCGTCGCACACACCTTCGTCTCCAAACCCGACCTCAACAAGGTCCCATCACCTCCCGCGTGCAACCGTATTTTCCACCCCGCGTGCTCATGGTGGTTCTGTTGGTGATTCTACTTGTGTTTCCTGTGCTGACTTCTGTTTCTTTTTTTGGTTTATGATCTTTTGGGTTTTTGTTTTCATATTCGTTATTGTTCTCTTCGTTTCCCGCCTGTACAGTCGGAAATGGTGGCGGAAGCAGCCCTGGTGAAGCTCAAGGCGGAAGTGCAGAGCACGCTGGTGAGTGCCTCCATTCCATCCCTGCATGCATGCATGCATGCGTCTCGTCTCGTCTCGCTCCGCGTTGCTGCGCTGTGTGCGTCCGTATCGCGTCTGCTTTGCTCGCCCGGTCAGGTCGAGTCGAGCTAAGGCGAGGTGCTGACTGGTGTGTGTGGTGGTGCAGGACTTGAAATTCGCGGCGTTGCAGAGGGAGGTGGAGGGGCTCAAGATTGGCGTGGACAAGGTGAAGAGCGAGATACGGTACGTATGCATGCATGTTATGCATGCACTGAGCAGATCAGAGAGCCTATCAGAGAGCTGCGGTAGAGGGCACGCTGCGCTCCAGGCAGATTAGCTGCTCGCGGGTGGAGATTAGCATGCAGTGGCAGTGGCAGTTGCTGTTGTTTGACACCGTTGCTGCATGCGCTGCTGATGAGGCTTGTGATTGGGGTACTTCGTTTTTTTTTTTTGCAGATACGAAGTGGACAAGGTGACGGCGGGGCAGAGGCTCGACCTGAATCTTGAGAAAGGGTGCGTATTATCGGGGTCAATGAAAGGGTTGAGCTGGGTTGAAATGTTCTGGAGCTGAGGGCATTTTGGTTGTGTGGTGTGCAGGCGGGTGAAGGAGGAGATGAACGTGCAACTACAGGAGATGAATATCTTGTCAAATAAGCTGGATAAGGTGAGCTGGCTTGTGTGTTTCTGAGCTTTTGTGTTTGGGAGAGAGAGAGGACAGGAGGGGGAGGGAGGAAAGTGAGGGAGGAGAAACAATCGAGGGAAAGAGGGAGTGACGTAGGTGGAGACGGAAGGTATGCCTTTTGGCTTGCAGAGTCTCCTGTTTGTAACGGATGTCCTTGTAATGGCCCTTGCAGGAAATAAACAATCTGAAGACACAACTTGAAGCAGCGAAGTTTGAAATTATTCGGTATTGCATAGGTGAGTCAAGGAGAGGAACGAGTGTGTTTCTGATGCGCATGGTTCAATGGTTGTTGATTTTTTTGCACTTGCAAGTGTGTCTTGCTGCTGCCAAACGGTGTCTGGCTGGCTGACTGGCTGGCTGGCTCGGAGAAGCATAATTTTGGGCGATTTCAGAGTTCTGATGAATGTGTTTGTGCTTATGCTTTGCAGGTACATTGGTTTCCATCAGTGCTCTCGGCTTGGGTATTCTTCGGTTAGTTATGTAAAAGAGTGGGCGTACATAATCAATGCTCATTTCATTAATATTATCATTAATGTTCTGGCATTTCATTAATATTATCAATGCTCATTTTATAAGATTGTTCTTCTGAGGAATACGGTAACCAGCATGGATGTGTTTTGTTAGCTCCTTAGGGTGCTGAGTTGTGTGTTCCAGTCAAAAATAATAAAGGGAATGCTTTCCAGTAACCGCAAATGTAGCCATCGGTTGTCTCACTATTCCCACTGCTTTGATTTCTGGGTTTGGAACACAGCATACCGAACATAGAGCGACGGTGCACATTTGCCACCCAAAACCCAGAACCCTGGCGAACTGTTACTGCGGATGGAAAGTGTCCGCACGAAATCCTGGTTTTCGCCAGCCAGCACTTTCGCGCTGGCAAGCCTGGTTCAAAAAAAAAAAAACTGAACCCAACACTGCCAAAAGTTGCCCGTCGCTATAAGTGAGACCTCTCCACTTCCAATCAATCCAACCAATCCTTGCTTCCCCACCATTTTCCCGCCTCAAGCTTGCTTCCCCACCATTTTCCCGCCTCAAGCTTGCTTCACGCTTCATAGAGCCTCTGCCGTACCACCGGCTCAGTGCTCCAATTCGCACTGCCTAGTGGCCGTTGGATTGACGCGTCTCTCGCATGCTGTGATACAATCGAGTATCGAGAATCAGATATCGAGAGTTGAGTACTGTATCGAGTATCGAGTATCGACCATCTGTTATCGAGTATCAAGACCTGCAGTGCCCGGTATCATCCAGTATCAAGACTCGGCGTTCGTCTAACGAGTACACTACGCGGCGCGAGGAGCACCAGCCATGGTGTTCATATCGCTCCTGGAGCCCTCACGCGACGACGCCAAGCGCGTGTGCCAGCTCACACGGTACTACCGCGCGCACTGCCCTGCACTGCCTCTCCCTCTCCTGCTTCCCCTCCCCCATCCTCCCCTGCCTTATTTCCTTCCCGCCTCGCTCCCCGCCGCGCTCACCCCGCCTCGTTCTCCCCGCGCGCAGAAAATCCGCACTGCGCATTGCGCGACCCCTCCGCCGTGTCCACCGTTCCCTCTTTCCTACCCCGCCTCGCATGCCCCCGTGCCGCTCTCCACCGGACCTAGCCTCACCACGTGCTTTGCCACCCTGACACCTGGGGTGCGGCGAAGCGAGGCTGATGGAGTGACGGCGGCAGCACCTGGCTGTGTTAGGGCCCCTCGCGGGATCCCCTCACAGAGCCCCTCACAGAGCCCCTCACAGAGCCCCTCGCGGGAGCCCCTAGCCTCACTGGGGCCCTCCATACGCTCCCCCTTGACACGGCGGTACCTGCTGGCGTTCCCAAGGATTCTACACTCGATTCGGGATACACACAGCAGCACTGCTACGCGCTCAACAGCGCGGAATATGACACACGCGTCTCCCATGCCTCCCAATCTCACACCCCCTCTCCACTCACCTCCTCTCCGTCCCCACGTTTCGTTTCCGGCCCCCACTCCCATGGCCCCCACTTCCATGACCCCCACTCCCATGACCCCCACTCCCATGACCCCCACTCCCATGACCCCCACTCCCATGACCCCCTCTCACTCTCCCGACGCCCACCCCACCCCCCCTTCTCAGATCGCTCTCCCCGCATCGCGAAACACTCAGCGTCCCCCGTCCCCCCCTTCCCCCCCACCACCACTCCACCCGCTCCTGCGACTCGCATCGCCCACTCTCGCCCCCGCGTGCTGCTCTCCACCGCACCTGGCGGTGTGAGGGGCAGCACTGAGCAGCCACCAGGGCTTGGCGCGCAGCACAGCTGGGTGCAGTCAATATCCCATATCTCTTGCTCGCTCTCTTCCAACTCCACTCGCCTCCTCTCCACGCTCACCTGTCGTTTGGAGCCCCACTTCCCTCTCTCCCCACTTCCCTCTCTCCCCACTTCCCTCTCTCCCCACTTCCCTCTCTCCCCACTTCCCTCTCTCCCCACTTCCCTCTCTCCCCACTTCCCTCTCTCCCCACTTCCCTCTCTCCCCACTTCCCTCTCTCCCCACTTCCCTCTCTCCCCACTTCCCTCTCTCCCCACTTCCCTCTCTCCCCACTTCCCTCTCTCCCCACTTCCCTCTCTCCCCACACCCTCGATGCCCACCCTGGTCTTCCAGATCCCTCCCCTTCATCTACCCCTTTGCAGCTGGTGGGGGTGACGAGAGGCGTCTATTTGTTAGGCGCCTCAAAAACATGCCCCCTCGCTCCCCCCACGCCCAAACCCTGTTTCAGATCTCTCCCCCTCAACTACCCTGCGCAGCTGGTGGGGGTGACAAGAGGCGGGGTGAGTGCAGTGACCAGAGCTGTGCGCGCATGGGAGGGTGGGGAGCAGGCGGGAGAGGAGGGATTGGCAGAGCAGCAGCCGGGCAATGGCAGCAGCGACAGCAGCAGTCGAAGCAGCAGCAGCAACAGCATCAGGAGTTACAAGGTGGGAAGTGGCAGTGGAACTATTGATGATCATAAGAACGGCGGCGGCAGCAGCAGGAGGAGGAGGGGCGGAGTGGGAGGGAGGGAGTGGTGGCGGGTGGATGGAGGGGCGTTTAGGTGCATGCACAGGTGTGAGAAGGTGGGCAGGGGAGACACGGCCTTCCGCCACTGCCAGCAGGTCGTGGGCACGTGGAGGTGCGTGAGTGCGTGTGTGTGCCCCAGAAAACTCACCACCAAGCACTCTACCTCTTTTGCTCCCTAATTCTCACCCCCCCTCCTCGTTCAACTCCCGGTCCCTTGTTCCCTCCTCACCTCTCCTCACCTTCCTTCATCTTCCCTCACCTCTCCTCACCTTCCTTCATCTTCCCTCACCTCTCCTCACCTTCCTTCATCTTCCCTCACCTCTCCTCACCTTCCTTCATCTTCCCTCACCTCTCCTCACCTTCCTTCATCTTCCCTCACCTCTCCTCACCTTCCTTCATCTTCCCTCACCTCTCCTCACCTTCCTTCATCTTCCCTCACCTCTCCTCACCTTCCTTCATCTTCCCTCACCTCTCCTCACCTTCCTTCATCTTCCCTCACCTCTCCTCACCTTCCTTCATCTTCCCTCACCTCTCCTCACCTTCCTTCATCTTCCCTCACCTCTCCTCACCTTCCTTCATCTTCCCTCACCTCTCCTCACCTTCCTTCATCTTCCCTCACCTCTCCTCACCTTCCTTCATCTTCCCTCACCTCTCCTCACCTTCCTTCATCTTCCCTCACCTCTCCTCACCTCCACTCATCTCCGCGCATCGCTCCTCATCTTGTGTCATATCTCTTCTCCCAGAGAGCATCTTGTGGATGAGCGCATTGCCTTCACTTCTCTTCTCTTCTCTTCTCTTCTCTTCTCTTCTCTTCTCTTCTCTTCTCTTCTCTTCTCTTCTCTTCACTTCACCCCATGCCACAGTACAGTACCCCGTCATTGTCCACCGACATTTCCACCTTGCATGGCCCTCCGCCTCATTCTCTCGTCCTTCTGCGCTCTCTTACGCCCGCGCTTCCTTTCCCCCAGGCACTTCAACCTGGGATGGACATGGGCTCTCTCCGTCCCTCCACCGTCTTCTCATCCCGCTAAGACCACCACCGCCACCACCAAATCCGCTCTCTCCCCTCCTCCTCCTCTTTCCTCTTCTCGCCTCGCATCTGTGGGCGATGCCGTGTGTGTGGCAGCGCGCTCCCTCTTCCTCACCCCCCCATGGACCATGAACCCCCTTAGAGTCATTTTCTCCGACTCCTTTCCTCCTCTCCCTGCTCCTCCTCTCACACCCACCACGGCACCCACCCGCTCGCACCCCACCGCCACCACCATCACCCTCTCCTCCTCCGCTGCCTCTACAAGCCCTGAGTCTGGCCGCAGCATGGGCACGCCACCACCAGGCATCTCGCTCACAGCAGCATGCTCTGTGGGCAGTGGCACGGTCCAAGGCCACTTCCTGGTGCGCCTCTCACACACCTCATGCTCCTACCCATGCCCATGCCCATGCCCATGCCCATGCCCATGCCCATGCTCATGCCCATGCCCATGCCCATGCCCATGCCCATGCCCATGCCCATGCCCATGCCCATGCCCATGCCCATGCCCATGCCCATGACCATACTCATGCCCATGCATAAACTCATGCCCATGCCTGTGCCCATGCTCATGCCCATGCTCATGCCCATGCCCATGCCCATACTCATGCCCATGCCCATGCCCATGCCCATGCCCATGCCCATGCCCATGCCTATGCCTATGCTCATGCTTATGCCCATGCTTCTGCTTATGCCCATGCTTTTGCCCATGCCCATGCCCATGCCCAATCCTGTGCCCATGCCTGTGCTCAACCCCATGCCCATGCATAAACCCATGCCCATGCCTGTGCCCATGCTCATGCCCATGCTCATGCCCATGCTCATGCCCATGCTCATGCCCATGCTCATGCCCATACTCATCCATGCCCATGCCTCTTCCCATGCCCATTCCCATGCCCATACCCATGGCCATACCCGTTGCCCTGTAACGTTACCAATTGACTCACAAGCTTAGGCCACTTTCCCTCCCCATACTCTTCCCCGCCCTGCCCCGTGTGCACACGGCATGCATGGTGATCAGGAGGGGGAAGAGCGGTTTCTGGTGGGCATGGACGGCAACAAGGATGTGTGGTTCGAGATCCTCTCCATATCACGCCCCGCCAACCCACTCGCCCTTGCCTTCTCTCCTCTCGCAAGGTTCATGCAGCGTAGATTCGCTCAAGATGCCATGGGCTCGCTTAGAGGGCTCTTGCAGAACGAGACTGCTAGTTTGGAGGGGAAGTGAGTGATCATCTGACTATTTTACACTACGTTCAGGAAGATGTCCAGGTGACAAATACGGTACAGGAGCTGGATGGTTGCCCCTCGGAGCTGGATGGTTGCCCCTCTGGGCGTTGGTGGATTTATCAGATGGTGAAAAGGAGCATGTGTGCAATTGTGTGCTAGGCTCGAAGAGTTTCACGCTTGACAGGTAAACCCTTGTGGAATGAAGCAGTTGGGAGATCAGCAACAGAGCTAACCAACAGCTTGACAACAGTTCTGTGAGTCAGAAGTGCAGAGGGATGACGAGGCTGGAAATAACAGTACTACGGTACCAGACCAGAAGATCCAACAGCACAGCGGCATCAACCCATGGTGCACATAGCAGGGCTTTCTGGTGAAGAGGTATTGCAACAACCAGTGCTAGTACGGTATCGGAACTTGCACGGCACATCACCGAGTGGGCCAGACCAAGCAACCTCTTGCAAAGAGCACCGACCGAGCTGGTTGCAGTGCACAGAGTGAAGTGTGATGCCACGCCACCTTCGAGCGTAGCACGACGATGCAAATGGCACGGCTTGGATACGGGGGAGCACTTCACCGGAGGGAGCACTTCACCGGTCGTTACCAGAACAAAATCACCGCTCGACCCTTCTCAAATGTATGCACAAATGCGCTACCGACTTTCTCTGCTGGCTATTTGCAAAGCACCATTTTGTGCAAACTCTTCGTTTTATCGTTTCCAAGATTCGCATCAGAAGAGTAAAATCCATTCCTACTTATCTATAAGTATCCACCGCCTTGGTGGAATTGCGTGTGTAGATGATGTTGGTTTTGGTGGTAGCTAAGGCTCAAAGGCTTTATCGTGGTGCGGGTTCAAAGGCTCGACCCCTGTCCCATCCGGTATACCCGTGTGCCATCTTCCCGCCCCACACTCCTCCCTTCTGCCAGCCTTCTGCAGCTTTTATGGTGTTGTGTGGTTAGATCTGGTACGTCACACCTTGTTATCATGGCACATTCCAGTTGTTGAGAAGCTTCGGTCCAGCTCAACCTCTCACGTTGAACTCTTACTATGAAGTGAGCAATATTACAAAAAAGATGGACACAGAGGTAGTGTACCAGCACAAACACACAAAAGAAAAGAAAACGGATACGTAAGCAGAGGGAAATCCAGAACCCATGCTCTCGCCCATCAGCTGTTTCCACCATGATGACGCAGCGAAGCTGCAGAAATGCCACGATGGAAATAGCTGATGCACGAGATAACAATACCGTCAGGCACAGCGACTAGTTGTGCAACCCAGGTTGCAACTCAGACGACAGTCGACCTCGACCCATTTCCTTAGACGTCGCCCGGAGTCAACGAGCTGGAGATGATATGCAGAGCGAAGTTCTTGCTAACGTAGAAGTTCCCAAACACGAGCGCCGCAGGGAGAATGTCCGAGCCGCCCTTGAGAATCACGGAGGGCAAGAGCCTGCCGGACCACTTGGTGACCTTTCCGCCCTCGTACGTGGTGAACTTGGTGAAGCGCGCGGCATTGCGGAGCTTTCTCTTGGTGAACACGCCCTTGAGCATGTGGTAGCGCGCCACGCGCCTGCGCTCGCCCGCGGAGAAGCGCACCCAGTTGCGCACCACCTTGAGCGGGTTAATCGGCTGCAGCACCGTCACGGGAGTCGCCTTGGAGGTTCCATTCACGCGCTTCACCATCCGGACTGCCAATGCGGTTCGGTTACAGCAAATGGGAGGGTGTTATTATATATTTCCCTGAGCTGATAGCAGTGAAAGCGTTGCTGAGATTGTGAGGCTGGACAGAAGCGAATAGACTGCGAAGTATAAGCGCAGAGTACTCACAGAATTTCTCAAGAAGCGGAGCTGTCTTGGCGTAAGGCGACGCTCGGAGGGTAGAGAGCGCTTTGTCCACATCCTCCGTGCTTATGCTTAGGCCGTCATCAACCGGCGTGGCCGCTTCCGCGGTGACAGCGACAGCCAGGAGGGCGGCGACGAGCAGAAAACGCGCAGAGTTTCTCATTTCGTTGACCAGCGGTGAAAGCAGTGCTGAAATGAAAAGACGACGCCTATTACGATGAGTGTTTTCTTGTCGAGGAGTTATCCTCGGTGGTATTAGTGCTGGCCAAGGAGGAATGGATGTTTTCAAAATCAGAAGCTTGTGGTTTTGGTCAGCGAGGCCACCATTTGAACTGGATTTCAAAGTGGATTTGAGAAATTCAGCGACCGAATGTAGGAAATGCGGTTCGGGTGCAACCAGCGGTGAATTGTGCCAACCTACATTGGTCACGTTGTTCATGTCCGCCAATGAATTTGCTGAAAGACCTGATTGGCTTACGCTCTTTGCGAAGTCTACGAAACCTCTGACGAATTGAAAACGATGAAAAGTCAATCGCGAACGGTGGTGCTTGTTGTCACTTCGACTTCACAGAAGCCTAGGCTAGAAGTACTGTACATACACCCAAAATCACCGACCTAACTGACGTCACCCGAACGTGACCAGTCAAATGTGCGAAATAAGAGCGTTACACATTTCGTGTGCATTGAAGGGGAAATACTGTAAGGAATTTCGCTAATTCCTTACTGAGGCATCTCTTACGCGTACAATTCCAACTTTCGGAATTCAGGCTCGGTCCGACGACCTCGCCTTCCGAACGTCTCCCGCGTCGCCCTCGGATTTCCCAACCCCAAACCTGCACCCAACCTTCGCGCGACTCCGCGACCTCGGCCTAGCTAGCTGTGCTATATTATGCCTAGGCCTCGTTGTTTGCTCAGTAGTTGTAATCACTTCCGCGATATTGCATTCTGCGCACTCTTCTCTTCATACAACTCATAACAAATACGAAAGAACCCACATCATACAGAGAGAAGAAGTACAAAACGGTAGCATCCACAAGCAGAACAGAGTTCAGAAATTCGTAAGTTCCATATTTTTTGGGTTGCGTAGCAACCTTATACATTCGTTTTCACTTTTCGGTTGACTGACGTGAACAGTGATTTTTCTCCAAAAATATGGATGAAATCACTGTTCACGCAAGTTACCCGAAAATGGAAACAAATGTGTCCAATCATCCCATAATCGTCGATAAGTACGGCGAATGGAATAATTTGGTAATGATTTACGCATCGATGACCGAACGTGCACTCTACTTCACACCCTCAAACACACACAAAACCACATGTACAAAACCAACATAACAATCGTGCATGCTTCATGTGAATGTTAAAATGCATATACGGTGCAACAGCGACTGATCTGGTACGGAAGGGGCAAGCAAAGCTACCCCACCGACAATCACAACCACAATTGCATACATAAAGCAATTTAACACCACGCTCTGAAACGAACACGAATGTCCACATGCAAACAAACAATGAAAATACGGAAAATACATGAATGCCTCGAAGTGAATGTTAAATGAATCAGAGTTGCAGCAAATATTGATCCGGTACGGAAGAGGCGAGCAAAGCTGCCCCACCGAAGATCACAACCTCAGCTGCAAGCACGAGTCACTTAGCACCACACCTCGAAACAGACAGTACGTCAAATGACAAAAAAAAAAAAAAAAAAAAAAAACAAAAAAAAAAACGGTTCGCACACACAAGATTACACATATACGGTACACACACACGTAACACACACACACAAAGACATTCACATCACATCACACACAGAAGGAACAGATAATGAACACGCAAACATAGCAAGTGGCAATTGAGTTCAGCTATGTATTATTAATTGCTATACATGTCCCTCCTCCCTACTTCCTCCATCCCTCCTCTATCACCTCCTCTGCCCCGTTCTTGCAAACTACCCTCCTTATCCTCCCCTCCTTTCCTTTCCTTTTTTCTCCCAAAAAAAACCCTCCCTTTCCTTCAGCAAGAATGCTTCTCATACGCCCTGCACAAGAAAGCAAAAACAGGAAACACAATTCACACCCTGCAGAAGAAAGAAAGAAAGAAAGATGAACAAAAAAACAGAAAGTACAACACACACTTTGCAGGAAAGGGCGAAACAGAGAATGCAACTCACATACTTTTGCAGAAGAATGCGAAACAGACAATGCAATTCCACTACGCTGTACAAGAAGCAATAACAGAGAAAACACTTTACACACCCTGCCAGGCCCTCAGATTCGTTTTTTGCCTGTCTGAGTCATCAGACTAGTACAAAATTTTAGTCTGAAACCCTCAGAGTCGGTTATAAAAAAAAGCTGAAATTTCAGAGTGCCTTAGAAAAAAAGTCTGAAACATCAATGTATCTAATGTTTCATAAAAAATGTAATCAATGTTTCATCTGATATCGAAACATGCTCGACTAGGGGGGTTTTAGGGAGAACATGCTCTGACAGGGCGAATATCTGTGTCAGGGCGAATTTTTGTGGTGTGAAAGGGCGAATCTGGAATGTCAGGTCGAAATTTTTGTGCTCTAACGGCGCGAATCTGTTGTGTCAGGGCGATTTTGCTGTGATTGGGCGAAAATTCTGTGCTGTAAGGCGCAGATTTGCTGTTTCAAGCCGATTTTGCATTGACTTAGCGAATCTGCTGTGACCCGTGAAGTCCAAACCGAATCACCAGTCAAGAACGCAAGCAGAAAACGGAATCGGTACGCATTTGTACTCTGGGTGATCAGAGTACACTCACGGAAAACTCTGAAACATCAGAGTTAGCTTTAGAATTTCTCTGAAAATTACAGAGTTGGGGCCCTAAAATCTCTGATTTTAACAGAGCTCACTTGAAAAAAAATCTGAATTCTGAGTTTTTCATGCAAATCAGACAAATTTCTCTGACTTCTGGGGGCCTGCACCCTGCACAATTTCCACAGCCTGCACAAGAAGGAAAAACAGCCTAGCGCGCTAGGCAACAGCGTGTTAGGCGCCAGCGAGCTAGGCGCCAGCGCGCTAGGTGCCAGCGCGCTAGGTGCCAGTGCGCTAGGCGCCAGAGCCTTAGGCGCTCGCGCCAAAAGGCGCCAGCGCCAGCGTCAAAAGGCGCGAGCCGCCAGCGCCAAAAGGCGCCAGCGCCAGCGTCAAGAGGCGCGAGCCGCCAGCGCCAAAAGGCGCCAGCGCCAGTGCCAAAAGGCGCCAGCGCCAGTGCCCAAAGGCGCCAGCGCCAGCGCCAAAAGGCGCCAGCGCCAAAAGGCGCCAGCGCCAGCGCCCAAAGGCGCGAGCACCAGCGCCAAAAGGCGCCAGCGCCAGCGCCCAAAGGCGCGAGCACCAGCGCCAAAAGGCGCCAGCGCCCAAAGGCGCCACCGAAAACGGCGCCGGCGGCCAACGGCGCCCTCGCCTAACACGCCAATGAAGCCTAAGGCGCGAGCGCCAAGGCCAACGCGCTTGGCGCCTAGGCGTCATCGGCCTAGATTTGAGCGCTGGTTGGAGTTCTTGAGCGGCTTCAAAAAAGTTGGAAAGGTCGTGAGAGAAAACCTCGAGAGCATTTTGGTTGAGAGGTGCAGTTGGTTGGGGGGGGAAGAACGAAACCCTTGCCAAGGATGGGACTGTTCACCTAACCCCAAGTCAGCAAAACATCTCCGTTAGTGATAATTGGTTTCTAAGTTATATAAGTTCCTATCTGTTTCTAGTGGTTTGATTTATTATAATAGATTCATGGAAATATGTGTCATTCATATTTTGTTATCCAAATGCTAGTCATTACTGATAATCTTCAGCGTGCCATTTCTTTGCAACTTTCATAGCCACACGACAAATCATACTGCATATTGTTAATTGGAATGAAATGATTTGTTCAAATTCGGCTGCGATTCTTCCATTGTGTCGCATTATTGGCGGTATGATGGTTAAACAATGTCGATCTATTACAGATCGAAATATTTCATTTCACTATTGTTATGTTTATTCTTTTATCGGCGAGTTACTACTGAAATACTCTTCAGATACAGTAGACGTGAGGGCAGGGCCTCAGATGTCAGGAATTTTACCCTGAATTCATGAAGTTTGACCCCCGTTTTTTATCATGACCCTGATGCATCAGCCTTTTTTTTTCAACGACCCTGATGTTTCAGTGTTTTTAAAATTCGAACTCTGATTTTCCAGTGTTCTGTGTTTGAGGACACTGACGAGTCAGTGTTGTATCCGGGTCTACCCTGAAACCGAAAACTCCTTGTTTTGGCGCGCCGTCACTGTGCACCGTGCACCAAGGGGATTTCTGGCGAAACATGCTCTGACAGGGCGAATCTCTTGTGTTAGGGGCGAATTCTCAAAGTTAGCGAACAACGGAATGATTGGAATAGAAACGAATGGGGTACAAATGAGCAACCCTAGAAGCTGTACCCCCTAGAGTGCAACTCACTATAGCCTATCATATCAATGTTCAACATTTGACACACCCCCATAGGCTAAGTGAGGGGCATCAAAGCAAGCAAGGTGAACAAACGGTCACAAGACCAGTCAAAGCAAGAACCAAGGCAAGCTCAGGGTGGATCTCAAGGACACCACACAAATTCCGAGCGCAAGCAAGCGGCCACAAGGCCAGTTCAAGAGTTCACTAGGATATAAATACAAAGCACAACAAGCAGAGGGACTACAGCAACCGAGGGCCTACCTCAACAAGCCCCAACTGCACACAGAACCTGTGGTGGTCACCAAGCGCCAAGGCCTTGGTGAAGACGTCTGCAGTGTTGGCCTCTGAGGCCACAAAGTCCAGGCGTGCCTGACCGCGTCGCTGCAGCTCTCGCAGGAGGAAGTACCTCACGTCAATATGCTTCACTCTGCTCTCCAGTCGAGGCTCTCGACACAGGAGGATCATGGCCTTGTTGTCAGCGTACAAGGTCGGTGCAGAGCGAGGCCGCTCACCAAGGTCAGCGAGCAAGAAGGTCAACCAGCGAAGCTCCTGTGCCGCCATGGCACCAGCGTAGATCTCTGCCTCTGCACTGGAAGTAGCCACAGACGACGACCGTGTAGACCTCCACGACACAGCACCAGCTCCCAGACTGAAGCAGTAACCCTGAGTCGAACGCTGAGTCTCCACGTCGTCAGCGTAGGAAGAGTCGCAGTGACCAGTCAACGCCAC